AATCCCAACGGAACATCACTGGTCACAGACCTCCACTCTGAGAAATAACTCTCCACTTCCACCCTCTGTCTCCTAACATCATGCCAATTTTGTATCCAATTGGCAAGCTATCCCTGGATCCCTTGTGATTTAACTTTACTGACCAATCTACCATGTGGAATCTTGTCAAAGGCCTTGCTAAAGTCCATCAGATGTAAACATTTTCACATTTATGTATTGAAGAGAACTGTTAGTTAATTTGATGATTAAGTGGGAATGTATAGTTAGTTTTACGAAAAAGAATGACCCATTTTGGATATATGTTGGACAGAAACTATACAGTAATATTTTTCCATATCTGTGGAGGCAGGCTTGAGGGTGGTACTGGGATGTAATTTTCATAGTTAGCACTCATGCGTTCCAGCCTCTGGGCAATCTTGCAGGATGCAGGTTATCACCAATTGCCAACCAGAGGCTAATGAGGTAGCATTAATTATTGGCTATTTTGGCAGAGATAGCATTCTATGTCGACACTACAGCAGCTTACTGAAGAATCTGCGCAGTAGGAGCTTGCTCAATGAAAGCCTAATGCTGATGTGGGTACAAAAAGGGTCAGCAGTAGGGATGAACCCTTCTGTGGTTGGACGCATGGATTGAAGTAGAGAGCTTTACCTCAGCAAATAAAGGCCTGTGAATTAAAGTTGGTGTGTTTTGGCCTTTCAATGAGGTCCATTTGCACAGTAATTAGCTTGACAATGGAAGAAAAGCAGACCAAAAAGAAGATCCAGACTCCAGTGGTGGAGCTTTGCAGATAGTTTACAGTTACAACAGAACATAGAAGATGAAACTTTCTGTAAAGGAGGTGGGGTGGGGTGGGGAGCGGAGGGTGCAGGTGTGTGTGGGGTGTTGTAGGGGTAGGTGGGCAGTGTAAATGTGGATACTGCTTCTGTTTCCTAAACATTTCAGATCAACAGTGCCTTAAAAGGTTGCACCTCTAGTTACAATTGCTTGCCAACATCTGGATAATGAACTCAGGCCACAGGGTATAGATGGTCACCCAGTTCTCAGGGCAGTAAAGGTGACAGTCTATGCCATTGGCTCAGTTTTGGAGTTGACTGGGGACATTCGTAAACTTTCTCAATCACTTGTATCGCGAGGATGAAAGCAGTGCAGCCCCTATAGAGGATTCTTTTGAGTTTTGTTTTATGTTTCTTATTTATGGGGGTGGCACGGTGGTTCAGTGGCTAGCACTGCTGCCTCACAGTGCCAGGGACTCGAGTTCAATTCCAGCCTTGGTCAACTACCTGTGTGGAGTTTGCACGTTTTCCCCATATCTCGGTGGGTTTCTGTCCAGCGCTCCAGTTTCCTCCCACAGTCCAAAGATGTGCAGGCTAGGTGGATTGGCCATGCTAAATTACCCATAGTGTTCAGGGATGTGTAGATTAGGTGCATTAGCTATGGGAAATGCAGGTTTAGGGGGATGGGTCTGGGTGGGATGCTCCTCAGAGGGTTAGTGTGGACTTGTTGGGCTGAATGGCTCGTTTCCATAACATGGGGTTTTATGATTCTATGAGTTATCAGCAGACAGATCTCTATGCTAAACTGCAAGGACACCATGTCTTTTTTTTTTAAGATGGCCTTAAGTTGCAGTTAATGGTTTGAGACAACATCTCACTATTGTCCCCCAGTCTTGATTCAACTATTGGCCAATGCTTGATCTAAGAAAAAACGATTGCTTAGCTCAGTGCTTCCAAACTCATTGTCTTCCCCAATCGCACACCCACAATGTATGCCAGCTTATCCATATCACATCTGTATCTACTGTGACATCTCGGACACTCATGAACAAACTATGTATGTGAGGCTGGGAGGAAATGTACACTGTGAGCTTGGAAGTAATAGATTATTCATTCTAAGAAAGCATCAGTGCAGTTAACAATCAATGAAGCGAACAATCAACTTTGGCCATTAGTGACGCTGTTTATGAATAACCCCCATGGCTCAGCTATGGTGACATGACCATGGTTGCTGTTATTGTCCATCCTATGTCAAGGACTGACATTAATCTCAATGTTTTCAGTGACCTGCTCAAATTTGCTGTGCTCCTCAGCCTGTGACATTTGTTACATATGAGATACTTTAGCCTCGAGTTGTGGGTTTTGCCCTGGTGAATGGTATACCTGTGTTGTTTGATACTACATCCTCCAAATGTCTGTCATCCTCTGAGCAGTATATTTGCTCATCCGTTCCTCCTGCTGCTCCTCTGGCATTGGCCTATTTGTGTCAGGAGAACAATTGCTCATGAATATGACACCCCTGCTTCCCTTTCACTTCACAGTTCTGCAATTGTTTAATTGCCAAAACGTGCAAATAACATTCAATATGCTATAGTGGTGAGGTCGTAGTCTTGCTCATCGAGCCGGTGTGTTTGGTTGCAAACGTTTCGTCACCCTGCTAGGTAACATCACCATGCTTCACCTTCAATGGTGAAGCGTTGGTGTTCAGTCCTGCTCGTTAATTATATGCCTCAGTTTGTTGGGGTGTTTGGTACCACTTCCAGTTTTGTTTCTTACTGGATGTTTGCTGTATCGGTTCCACAAGTATGCCATTCCTTAAAATTGCACCTCCTCTCAGTTGAATGTTCATATTATTCCTTTGCCAGGTCATGTCCTCTTAAATATTATGTGCTCCACCAGCATCTCAGAATCACAAAACTGTTATAGTAGAGCTGGAGGCCATTGGGCCCAGAATATCTGAAGCAACTCTCCAAATGAGCATTACGACTTTATGCTAACTTCCTGCCTTTTCCACATCCCCTTGGACATTGTTTCTGGTTTAAATAATCTCCTAAAACTCTCTTGAATGCCGCAGTTGAGCCTGCCTCCTCCATACTTCTGGGCAGTGTGTTCCAGACTCAAAACTTTCAATGAGTGAAAACAAAATTCTCACATCACATTTGCTTAATTTGAAAATTGCATTTAAATCTGCCTCCTCTCACTCTTGATCTTTGTTTTCAAGTGGGAACATTTCCTCCCTATCAACTCTAGCCAGAGCTTGCATGATTTTGAAATCTTCTGTCAGATCTCCTATTAGCTGCCTTCTCTCCAAAGAGAACAGTCCTAAGCCTGCCTGCCTATCCTCATAACTGAAGTTTCTCACCCCAGAACCATCCTTGTAAATCTATTCTGCATTTTCTCAAATGCATTCATATCCTACCTATAGTGTAGTGCCTAGTACTACACAGAATACTCCAGCTGAAGACTAATATGTCTGTGTGAGTACAGCTCTTGTACATTATACCTCTATTAATAAACTTCAGTATGCAAGATATTTTATTATCTGCTCTCTCGACCTGTCCTGCCACTTTCTACCTGTCCTGCCACCTTCAATGATCTATGCACATATACACCCAGATGCCATTGCTCCTGCGTTCCCTTAAGATTTGTGTCCCTTATTTTGTTCTGTCTGCCCATGTTGTTCCCAACAATACAAATCAATTCACAGTTTTCACAGAACTTCATCTATGCCTCCTACCTGCCCACCCCACCAACTTGTCTATCTTGGAGAGGGTTCAGAAGAGATTTACCAGGATGTTGCCAGGAATGGAAGGTTTGAGTTATAGGGAGAGGCTGGGTAGGCTAGGACTTTTTCACTGGAGTGTAGGAGGTGGAGGAGTGACCTTTTAGAGGATTATAAAATCATGAGGGGTATAGATAAGGTCAATAGCAATGGTCTTTTTCCTAGGGTGGGGGATTTCAAGAGTAGAGGACATATTTTTAAAGTGAGAGGAGAAAGATTTTAAAAAGACAGGAGGGGCAATTTTTTTTACACAGAGGGTGGTTCGTGTGTGGAATGAACTTCCAGAGGAAGTGGTGGATGTGGATACGGTTATAATGTTTAAAACACATTTAGATAAATACAAGAATAAGAAATGTTTGGAGAGATGTCGACCAAGCGCAGACAGGTGGGACTAGTTTAATTTGGGATTACAGTCACCATGAACTGGTTGGACCAAAGGGTCTGTTTCCCTGCTCTATGACTCTATCTCCTTTTGGAGTTCTACACTGTCATCATCTTCCATTGCATCAGGACAGAAATGTGGGCCATCCTACCTTTGCTTGGCCCTCACTCCCAGGCAATGTGCAGTCTCTTTTTCTTTCTCCTGTAAATTGGATGAGACCATTTTCATGACTGATTGATTGTGCAAACATTAGCAGCTGAATTGGAAATCACAAAAAAGAACACTTCACACTTTCGCTGTCGTGCTGACATCTAACCTCTCCTACAGGTGACTGTGCTGCCAACACTTTCTTCCCACGTTACATGGCCTGGGGTATCACAGGCACAAAATTGCTGGGATCTAATGATTTGCTCAATTATAAAGATGGTAATGAATTTGGCTGCCTCCGACAGGATTTTCTATCCTGACTCACCCCTGATCCTTGTGGATTCAGGACTGAGAAATGATCTCAACTTGCACTTCCATCCCGCTCATTATGTTCTCAATGTAGAGGGAAGCTTCTTTTAATGTGGAAAATTAATATTGGTAAGTTACCCTACAGCCCAGCGATATGCCTTATAGCCACCATTCATTTGATAGATTTGGATGCATGGTTAATGTTCTACTTACTACAATGAAACAATTTGTCATGATTTGGTGTGATTAGAAAGGTATTATTCATGATAATTGAACCAGACTTTATTATTTCCTGGTTTGGCTTGACAAAGAGCTGAATAAAGTGTATGAGCTGCCATTATTTCCAAGCTCATCTAGTCTGAAATTTAAGTTCAATATCCCTCACTTCTTTATGATTGAACTTTAATTTAAGTTCAGGGATGCTTCCAGTTTCCCTTTTGTTCGAATCAATAAATAAGTTACCACTAGTACAGGGGACAGATTATACATTATTGTATTAGCTGAAGTGTTGTTATATTATTAAATTTGAAATTACTTTCAGCACGCTTTTGAGATTTTCACTTTCTTCAATGAAATTCCAAATCAATACATTTGTCTTTCACAGAAATATCTGGCTCTTCAGAAGAGATTCCCCTTGTTCGCTGGAGGCAGCAGTGGCTAGAAAATGGAACGTTGCTTTTTCATGTTCACCACCAGAATAATGCCCACCGTTTACCAGGGCTCATTCCAACCATCTATTCTCAAACAGATTCTGCTGAGGAAGAACTCCGAATCCTCCATATTTCTGTGATGGTCAGTTCCACTGTTTTGACTATTTATTCCAAATCATTTTCGCCCCACCCTTTTTAAAAAAAAAGATTAACACCTAAACAATTTACATTCACGTGATATTAAGCTGAGGCGAATGTTGTTTGCACTGTGAGATGTGGTTTCATAATCGTCTTGGCATTGCAAGGATGATGTTTGGATAAATTATGTTGCAAGGGTTATCAACTTAATTCATTCAAAGGACCTGAAATTTGGCAGATCTTGCAGTCTTTACGGTTTAAAGACATATTAATAAAGGGTAGAACTGAGAGGTTAAACATAGGCATCTAGTGTTACTGAAAACCTTCTACTGATCAGTGATTGTATAATTATCAACGTGTTCTTGTCCTTTTAATAATGGAAAGTACTGAGTCATCTCTGTTGATGTGCTGAACTATGTCCTCATATATACGGGGGTAGATCTTTAAATACTTCCATTAAGCGTTCTTTCATGATATTGATTGATATGGAGAAGACATCAAGCTCTGTCAAAGGAATAGATGTTCTGACCTTTCTGGAAAAGGATAATGGATCACCCCAATTTTTGCTAATCAAATATCAGTGTGCACAATCTATTGGGGACTGCATTCCCCATTTGTTTTTATTCCCTGGTCTGAATGATGGCCAGTCAAGTACTTACATTTAACAAATGTTTGCATAACTGCTAAGTGAAGATCATAATTATTTACGTAACCGTAGCAATTGAAAAAAATTGATAAATGATAGACATGTGACCTGATGCTTATTAAAAATTTAGATTGACACAGTGGATGAATTTATCAATCTTATACAAGAGCAGTGATAATATAGTCTTTGCATGTATCTCTCATTGAACTGACTGTGGTGGGAAAACCGAAACCAAGTGCATGTTAAGATTTGGCACAGATTGAATTCGGATACTGCGAGGTAGTTTGCCTTGGATGGGTTAAGGGAATTTGCTTGAGCAGTTAATGCCTCTTGTTTTCTTTTTAAACTTCTCTATTACCTTAACAATAGTGAACAACAGAAAATACAATTGCATTTTTGATGTAAAAGTATGACTGACAGTAAATTTGTCGGCAGAAATGTTGCCATTTTGAATAATACAGTTGAGTTTGCCATAAAAACCCAGAGGCAAATCTTTTGGAAGAGCAGTGCTTTGGATTTGAGGCCTGTACCTTTTCAAATCCCAGCTGAAAGCCATGCTTTTATTTTACTTTGCAACTTTATTTTTCTGCGACACGTGAAACTTCTTTTCATGAACTATTCTGAACTATTATTAAATTTTAAATAGTTATGTGCTCTTGCATTTGCTGCTTTGCCAGTTTATTTGCTTTAAGTCCTCAACCCGAATTAATGTTAATGCCTTAAATGGAAACAAAATGTTCTGATATTGAGGTGAAAGTTAAATTGAGGATTCTTTAGTCTATTTTGCTGAAGATGAGAGCTGCTTTTTGCCTAGTGACAGGTACATGCTTGTCTAGCCTCCCCTTATGAGGAAACTGTTGGCTCCAGAAAGACCCTGATCAAGTAAGTAAGAACCATTGACCTTCCAATAGAGTTTATAAAGCCACATTCATTCACAATGAGTAAATTCATTGCTTATTTTCAAAGAGATACCATGAAATATTTGGACAAGACTACAGGATGTTCGTAAAAGCTTGCAAAAGATTCTTTAAGTTAACATTTAATCTTAATTAGCCCGCAGGACGAAGACCTCACCTAGATTTTGGCTGTACATTTGGAAGAAGTCAGGAGGATCTGGCAGAAATCATTACAATGCTGCTGTGTTGAAAAGCAGAACATTTTGTGTGACAGTATTAAATTATGTTCAAAAACATTCTGGAAGTGGTGGTGGTTATTTTACTTTCACCACTTGGAATTAATTTGGCGGTGAAGATTACACTCAATGAGATCATCCATTGATTTTAATAGGATGAAGGCTGAACAAGTTCTGTAAGAGCAGCAATGTACTCTTTCACATTACTGTCAAGACAAAGGTGAAAAATGCCCTGGTGCAACAGTGACTCTGGTAATTCAGAGATCTGTATGTGTGCGTGTGTGTGTGTGTGTGTGTGTGTGTGTGTGCGCGCGTGTGCGTACGTGCGTGCACGCGTGCGTTAGGTGAAGTTAGAAGACAATGTCAACTAGGAAATAAAAGGAATGATAGATTGATATGCAGTGTGCAAGAAAGCTCAGAACTGGTGTATCATAGGAAAATATGGAATTGTTTTTTGAACTGCTATCAGACATCATTATCATATGATATTGTAATAACCTTACTCAAGACATTGACTTCAAATATGAAGAGCTCATGTTGCCAGTTGTAGTAGGAACTGCAGATGCTGGAGAATCTGAGATAACAAAGGTGTAAAGCTGGATGAACACAGCAGGCCAAGCAGCATCATAGGAGCAGGAAGGCTGACGTTACGGGCCTAGACCCTTCATCAGAAATG